AACATCCTATCAGAAGCAGCATAAAGTCAATGTAAGATACTTATTAACATGGTGAATGGAACTCTGGAAAGAAATCAAACATTTTAGTACAAAAGATTCATAATCCTCAAGCTTATACCAGTCATTTGACATTGAGACACACTTTCCACATCAGATTGAATAAGAAGAACAAACTTAGAAAAATGTAACATTTACTGGAAGGTTTGGTTTTTTCTGTCATTTTCCCTCAAATATGGTTAGGGTTTTCCTCTCACCTTAAATTTTAATCATCTTTGGGTCTGTTCAGGTGATGAGTCATCTCTTTAAATGGGAAAAATGAAAAAGTTTTAAAGTTTTATGAAGCATCAGTGGGCTATATTTGTAAAAACAATCATTTCCTATAAATCAAAGATGGAAGTTGTTACTTTGAGCTCCATCAAAGCAAAGAGAGCTGGCACAATCTGCACCAACCGTAGGCCAAGCAAACATGTCTTTCCACTTTGGAAGACCATAAAATATATACATACACATAGCAAAGAGACATGATAACATAGTAAAGAATGTATATCAATGATACCTTGTTAGATTCTAATGCCATTGACATTTCATTCCAAATATCTCCCAACCCATCATCTTCTTCAGTATCAGTCTGGTGATTGTCATCATCTTCTACACCAACATAAACTCCTGGGTCATTCTTGATTTCGGTCTCTCCTGGAACTTTGTTCTCAACAAAGTCCCTTACCTGAACATGGTCCAGCCAATCATTTGACAGATAGGATAAAAAGTGAGAAGAGAACAATGAGACAGCCTCCTGTCAGAGAATATTGCACAAATAAAATCATCTCATAAGGCATACATACCACTGACTGTTCAGATGGTTGTCCCAAGAAAACCTCCCGGAAAGAATAGGATGGTTCTGGCAAGACAACCTCTTTGAAAGGATAAGGAGGTCTCGGATGTTCACTTTGTTCCTCATCTGAATCAATAATTACAACAGGCAATAATGCTGCTGGAGCATTATTTTCAACAGAGTCATCCTCCAAATCAATGACATTATTTTGGGCCAATGGACTAGCCTGTTGGTTTGCAGATTTAGGAGCCCTTTTACTCTGCCTTTTCTCCTCCAAGGATAGATTTGACAGTGCAGGATATTTTTCAAAATAAGGGCTCAGAGTTTGCCTCTTTCGAGCAAGAATTGCCTCTATCTCCTTTGTAACACTTCCATATTTGCCAGAGTCTATCCTCTCCAGCAAGTCCGGTATGGCAAATGGATCACTGTAATCAACAACTTCTGAAGTAGACTTAGGCTTCTTATGTACAGCTTCATCATGGTTACTTGGAGAGAAGTCCATGCTATCATAATCATTTGTATCAAAACATACTTTCATCCTCTTATACCCCTTGGAATACAAACCTGAGCTCAAATGAAAGGTGCCATACAAATAGACAAAAAAGAAATGAGGAACTTGCGTAAAGTAAGAAAAAGAAGTAGGCTAATTCCAGAAACTTATGAGTTCAGAAAACCATCTAGCCAAGCAATGGTGGATCCAGCAAGGGACAGTGAAGTCAAATGCCCCCACTTGCCTTTTCTACACCCATGAACTTGCACATCAATTTGATGATTTCTTGGTGATTTGTTTGAGTGTGTGGGGGCAACATGTTTGAAAAAATGCCTCATAGGAGGGGATAGGGCAGGCATACAGGGGCAAACAAATAAGTCGGATTGCAGGTAACAAATTCAGTTGCTCAAAACGGGTTGTTATGGTAGTCACTTAAAAGCAAAAGCAAAGAAATTTAGCTAACAGCCAAAACTACACAAGACCTGATCAGTATGAGCTCTAATTTCCCAAACCTCAAATTTTGTTCTAGTCTCTTATACCGCCGACTCATCTGCTAGGGGTTGTATACATTGAGAAAAATGATTTGACTGTATTAATAATGATGTTCTAATTAGGACTCATAATATTGCATTTTTTCTACTAATGAAAGTATTTATAATCTTATATTTAGACTATGTAACCGGAAAAAAAAAGAAAAAGAGTGAGTGTAAGATTACGCCAGTGGGGAATTTCAGTGCATACTATAACTCCCCCATGGTAGAATAGAAGCAGCCCCCACACTGTTTGGTGAACTGCAACAGGCAACTTTGAGAAGCAGCACGAGTTTTGTTTTGTTTTTATTATAAGAGAGAAGCCACACAAAGTGGTGCGCTTCCAAAGGCTGTTGCACTTCTGATTGTGCCCTCCTCATCTCAAATAAAAATAAAAAGTTCTTCTCAGCTTCTCAACACTAGCTTCTCAAACGCCACAGACTATTGAATTGGCCCTAACAGCCCAAAATACCCAAATAATCTCTACTATTTTCATCGTTAATCCATTTCTTAACCTCTAAGTCCCCTTTTCCATCTCAAATGATCTTTAATGCATAAACAATTTTGTTGAGCAAAACATGAATTCCACAACTTCTAATTCTTCTACACATGCGTTCTTGACTACCCTCAACCCTGCATTTATCTCAGATGCCATAAAAAAAATACCATTCAAGAAGCAGAGGCTTACCATCGTAAGATGTTTTAATAGGCGTTAGATCAAGTGGTGACTCCATGGCTCATCAAAATCCAAGAAAACACTGAACATAAGCAACCCAACAAAAAAATCAATTTCGACAAAAATAAAAAATCAATCATTTTCATCAAATAAAAAAAACCCAACTAATAAAATCACCATTTTTGTGTGAGAAATTGATGATAATAAGTATAAAAAAAAACCTTCAAACTGGCAATTCAGAAATGAAAAAGCACTCGCATTTGGGTTTTTGAGTCTCAGAAGAACACTCTCGCTCTCTCTTGCTCTCGTACAGAGTGTGTGTGTGTGTGTAGGAGCGTCCGTACAGCTTCTCCTCCAGGTGTTGTTTCTGTGTAAAAGCGTAACAGACGCACAGCGTCAGCGAGGAAAGCAAAGCATTGCAGAGCAGAGAGAAGCTTTCGTGTATCGCACTTATACCGTGTGAGAGTGCGATTTCATGACGTGGCAGGAGCTTATTGGGTGGAGAAGATGTGTCGTCGTTGCCAATAAGAAATTTAAAAAAGTTAGAAAATATATATTAATCGCGTCACGCTTGGAATCTAGGCGCTTTTGGTCCCGCGAGGATTGGGGATGTTTGGAAACATGGAATTATAGCTCCCGAGCCGGAGTAGGACTGTGTGATGCTCTACTCGAATCCGGTGTTTGGTATGCGTTGAAAATGAAATGGAATGGGAAACATGATATTGTTGCAATTTTGGAAAAATTGATTATCAATATGGGGTGTGCTCAATCCAAAGTTGCTTTGAGGCGACATCTGATCTATGCCAATTTTGGTCGAGTTTAAGTTGAACTCAAAAGTATCTACTTTATTTCTCTTCTTTTAAAAAAAAATTATTTACAAGCATAAACGTAGGGGACTGGGAGGCGCTCTATCAGTGGCGAGGTTCCTGCTCTTACTTGTAGTTGAGTGGGTAAGACTACTTAATTAGTCCGATAATCAGACTCCTATGTGTACAAAAGCTTGCCTAATCCCCTAGGCTATTACCTGATTTTTTTTTGTACTTGTTTGTTTCCTCCTTATCAATAAAATAATGTTGCTTTTCATAATTTTTTTTAAAAATAAAAAAATTAGTGTCATGATAACATTAAGAATTCATTCAATTTATGCACGCGTACAACTAAATTGTGAACCCCAAAATCAATTACGTGCAAAAATTATTATGTGTGACAACATTGTCATCTACTATAGTAATTTTTTCCAATTGTAAAATTAGCAGAATAGTTGTAGCCTTTTACTAGTAATGAAAGAGGATGCATTTTAACCAAGGTGGTTGGTGTGAGTGGTTCGACACTCTCATTCCTTAAGAGAGGTTAGGGGTTCGATCCCTGCTCTTGTACGGAGTCACCACTTTGGCCAGCACTTTACCCCTTACGGGCCGACCCGGTGTGAGCGGGGATTAGTCTGGGTTGTGGTTAAGGCTTAAAGGTGCCACCCATAGTTGGGGCCCATCCAGGACCACCTTGTGATTCAGACAAAAAAAAAAAAAAAGGATGCATTTTACAAGTAGTGGCTTGAATATGTTCCTTATAAATAGGACCATAGATAGAGTGATCACCTTACATGACACTATGAATGTGAGACTATAACACTATATAGGGCTTCATATGAGTATTTTTTTTTCTCTAAGCAACAAAGTAAGATATCAAACCTTCGTTTACTAAAAATAAATAATAAATGGCCAATAGGGTATAACTTAGTTGGTTGAACTCTTTCACCTCAATCCATATGGGAAGAGGTTCGAAAGCCCTAGGCACCCAATGAATATTTATGTAAACACCCTCCCCAATCGTGTACTCACAAAAAAGAAAAAGAAAAAAAGGACTAACTTCACATGCATACATAGTAGGTGACCTTAATAACTAATGTAGTAAATACATATCAACAATCACATAACATGCTCATTTATTAATGAGTAGTTGCAATGTATAAATGAGATGAAATTGTATGCAGTCACAATTAAATTAAGCGAAATTATCTCTTGACTTTTTTTATTTTCAATTATTGAAGTAGTAGTATCTAATGATCAATAAAATGCGTATATCAATTAAACAAATGATACATTTTAATCGTTTACTAATTGTCACCACACATGATTATGTATCATTTATATGAGTATATGAGTACATATATGCACATACGTATCACTTTAATATAAGTATATAGTTACGGTCATTATAAAAAAAATCCTAAACCCTAAAACAAAGGCCAACAAAAGTTTTGCAAATTTTTTGCTAAACCCAAAATTGAGCACATTAAAATTTGCTAAACCCAAAATTGAGCACATTACTTTAGACATTGTTAACCCTAAACCCTAATTATTTGGTAGATGTAGTCCTTAATTATTTGGTACCCTCTATTAGTAAACATGCCCTAAGAGGGTGTGCACTTATTTCTGTGATGACCAAAATCGACCATTTTTCTTTAGGCATAGCAAAGTAGGCCAAAAAGAGTCAAAATCCCCTAACCCCAAAAGAGGAGGGAGAGGAAGACTCAAAAAAAGTCTCGAACTTTACAAACTCCGTTCACAAACACCACCTCTCTCTCACTTCTCAGACCCTCCATCTCTCACAAAGGACAGATCAAAAAGGAGAGAGGGAGTGTTTTTGGGTGTGAAAATTTTCACTTTTTGCTGTTTTTGGCGCCCTCAAGTCTCAACCTTCCTTCCTCGAACCCTCCTCCCACGACCACAACCCACCATTCCAAGATTCTCCCCACGTCCTCTGTTCGATTCCCCGCAAACCCATCTAAACTCTTAAGTCCACCCATCTCGTTCTCTCTCTCTCTCCATGGTATTTGGCAAATTGCTTGCTTGCTTGCTCTGCTATTAACTCCAATTCACTGTTTCAGTCTTCTCTCTCTCGTCTCTTCAGCTTCTTCTTCTTCAATTCTCATGGCTTCCCTGAAACACTTGCCTGCTGTAAAGGTACTGTTGAGGACCCAACAAAGTTTCAACTGAAACCCTAATCAACTGTCAAAGTTTCTCCCCGCTCGAATTTGAGTGGGATTTTGAACTTTTTTTGGGTTATTTAAAAAAAAAAATGTTTCTGGGTTATTTTTTGTAGGGCGCGAAAGTGCTCATGGTTGGGGCAGGTGGTATTGGCTGCGAGCTCCTTAAGACTCTCGCTCTCTCTGGCTTCCAAGACATTCATATTGTGAGCTCTCTCCCTGAATCTGTTTTCTTGTTAGTTTTAATTGATGGGTTTATGCTAGTTTCTCATTTTTTAAGATGGTTTACGAAGGTTTTATTTCTAGGGTTTTCATTGTGTGTTCCCCATCTCATATGTTTGTTGATTGAAATTTATGTGTTTGTTTTGGAGAGGGTTTTACTTATTTTAGGAAAATACTTCTTTTGATACCAAAATATAGTTCAATTTTCTGCAGATGTATTTTTTTTAAAAACAAAATTTACTTCTCTATACATGATGGTCATGTACAATTTAGAGTGAAATAGTGATCAAATGATGGCTTACTATTGTTTTATTTATTCATTTATATCATAACCATAATACTAATCATCATCACCATCATAACCATAGTAAACAATTTCAAGTGAATTAAGATATTATTGGAGGAATCTAGGATCTGGCTAATAAGAAAAAATTGGATTAAATTATTGCAATTTTTTGCATTTCTACTTTCATCCCTGTCCATTTTTTATGACTTCCTATGATCTATGGTGAGGATCCTACCATATTTTCTAAAGGTTAAAAGTAGAAGAGAACTATATATTTTAACACTACTGATTAGGTATGTCCAATTTAGAAAAGCATGAATCAGCCAAAAATTTCCAATTTAGAAAAGCATGAACTTTAAGTCAAAATTTTATGAGATAGTGGGTTTGGATTTGGAAGTACGGTCTATATTTTTAACTACTTTGAATAGATCCCTGTATTAAGTTGACAAGTTATAGCCTGCAAATTGTAATAGTCCAAATTCTTTTTCTTGATTTTGTGTTCAGGGAAGTATGAGCTGGATTACTTTGTTGCTTTTGGTAATTATTCATTTGTGATTATGTTAAATTGCAGATAGACATGGACACTATAGAAGTCAGTAACCTCAACAGACAATTCCTCTTTCGACAATCACATGTTGGGCAATCCAAGGCTAAAGTAGGTGTATTTACTACATAGTTTTTTGTCTATTTGAATAGCTGTGCTTTCTGTAAGATATTTTCATCGGATATTTTCAACAGGTTGCTCGGGAAGCTGTCTTAAAATTTAGGCCTCACATAAGCATTACTCCATACCATGCAAATGTTAAGGATTCTGACTTCAACGTGGACTTCTTTAAGGAATTTAATGTTGTATTGAATGGACTTGACAACTTAGATGCGAGGCGACATGTGAATCGCCTATGCTTGGCAGCTGACGTTCCCTTGATTGAAAGTGGGACAACTGGGTTCCTTGGACAGGTGAGTTATTGCTTTAGAGTTGTTTGGCAAGGAACTGTTTATTTTTAATTGAACTAGGTTTATACATTCATTGATGCATCCAATAACGTCTTGTTTGTACGTCTGTTATGTTTTTGGTTTGTTTTATGGTGTGTGGGTGGGTGTGTCTTGTGTCTGAGTTCACATCAACTAAGTATAATTGCAACTGGTTTGATGATTAGAGATGTGAATTTTCTGACATGTTGAGCTTTGATCTGGAAGGTTCTCTATAGCAGTTGCAGAATGGGTTTCACTGTGGAATGCCTTCATCAGAGTTCATGCATAGAAACTATTTGTTTTCTGTCTAAGCATTATGTGCTTCATTGGATAACTACATGAGCTAAGGATCCTTTTGTATTATTTTATGATAGCCTAAGTCAGGGCAATGTTACATTAATCATCAACTATGTCACTATCATCATCATCTTTACCCTTGCTCTGATAATATGGGGTCAGCCACATAAATTATTGTCTTCCATTAGTTCCAATTATTCTGAATTATAATGTCAGTCATGTATTTCCTGCATAATTTTAAATACTTTCAGGAGTCTTCTTTGTGTAGTTAGATGTAGCATTGGAGTGAAATATTTCATGTACGATGTATTTTAAGTTTGTAGATTTTTAGTTTTTTGAGTGACACTTGGTGGAATTAACGCATCAGTGTGTTTGACCAGAATGTTCAAATGGTTTGGCATCATGGTGATTACTCTATCTGTCCTTGCATTTGTTTTGTAAAATGCATCATTGCAGTTAACTCCGTGTGTGATGATACTCCTCCCCTTTTTACTTATTTGTTGAAACTTTGAAAGCAGGTGACTGTACATGTGAAGGGAAGAACAGAGTGCTATGAATGCCAACCAAAACCTGCTCCTAAAACTTATCCTGTCTGTACCATTACCAGTACTCCATCAAAGGTATTGTTGAAAGATTAGTTATGTTTTTTGTTTCTGTTTTTCATAGTTATTTACTTATATCATGTGAATTAAAACGTCTAATTCTAACATGGAGGATTCAATAATCGGAAAGAGAAAAAAGAGAGTAAATGAAGATGAAAAAATCAATGGGGAACGGGTACCCAAGGAACCAAGAAACCATGGGAACCATTAATAGTAAATAGATTTGAACTGCTTTTCCTTTTTTCTTTTCCAGAAATTACCATTAGTAGGACTACCACTTCTGCTACACTGCAATTGATATGTAATTGGTTAAAGCTATCTGGAAATTTAATGATGTTTTTGGCATAAAAATGTTATTGAGAGTTGCACTTTAAAAAATTATGATTGTATGTTTTCTGCTAGTTTGCATGGAGCAAACTATGAGTTGGAGAATGGTCATTTTCCATGAGACTTTCAGTGGTAAAAAATCATCGACAACCCCTGCTCCATGGTCTTAGGTATAGGCTTTGATTTTATTATTTTAATTTTGCAGTTTGTTCACTGTATTGTATGGGCGAAGGAACTTCTCTTCGCAAAATTGTTTGGGGACAAGAATCAGGCAAATGATTTGAATGTCCGCTCTAGTGATGGTGCCAGCTCATCAAAGCAGGCAGAAGATGTATTTGAACATAGAAAAGATGAAGACATTGAGCAGTATGGAAGGAGAATATATGATCATGTGTTTGGTTATAACATTGAGGTAGCTTTGTCTAATGAGGATACTTGGAAGAACCGCAACAGACCAAAGCCTATATACAGTAGTGAGTTCATGCCTAATGATCTCAGTCAACAGAATGGAAATATGGAAAAAAATGGTGCAGCCAATGATATATCTTCAGTATCTGCCATGGCATCTCTAGGAATGAAGAATCCACAGGATGTATGGAGCCTTAAGGAAAATTCCAGAGTCTTTCTTGAGGCTTTGAAATTATTTTTCCTGAAAAGGGAAAAGGTTAGTGTGAACTCTGCATTTAAATAAAGCCCTTGCAGGGTCATTTATTTTCCATATGTCAAGACTGAACTCTAATTTCATTTCCCTTTTTTGTTTTTTTATTGTCTTTTGGGTCCGGTGGGGCATTGGTTGGCAGGAGATTGGAAATCTGACTTTTGATAAAGATGATCAGCTAGCTGTGGAATTTGTTACTGCTGCTGCCAATATAAGGGCCGCTTCCTTTGGAATCCCATTGCATAGCCTTTTTGAAGCTAAAGGCATTGCTGGTAATATTGTACATGCTGTTGCAACAACGAATGCTATTATTGCTGGGTTGATTGTCATTGAGGCAATCAAGGTGCTGCAAAATGATACAAAGAATTATAGGTGTGCAATTGACCTTCCGTCTGATTAAATAATGTCTTCCTTTTCTTTTTCTTTTTATTCCCATAAAAATGTTTTCGCATGTAGTCTTTTTCTATCTGAATTCTTGTATTTCAAAATGGTGCAGAGAAAATGCTTTTGCTTGTGGTTTTGTGATTTTCAAAAATATTATTTTACTGATACACCCATACTCGTACACCCATACTCATACACCCAAATGCACTCTTAACACCCTTATTTTTTATGATTGGCATCAATGAGCTAAAGCTATGATCATATATATATCTTTAGGGAAGAAAACATCCTAGCTGCTTATGAACTGAAAAAAAAAAGGGATTGTGACATCGTTTTAACTTGCTGGAAGTGCTTTATTTGCACTGATTGGCTTGCATATAGTGCTAATAGGAAGGGTCCTACTTTCTATTCACTTGCGATTTCCTTTTGTTTGGGTGACGTCATACTAGGGAAAATTGAAACGTAAAACTAATGGTGAACAATATGTCAGACATGATGGTAATTCAGCAAGTCTCTGTTGTAAAATCTACTGGCTCGACTTTTTTCTGTAACTTGTATGTTCTACACTGATCCTTTTTTTTTGGGGTAAAATTCTACCCTGATCTGAATGGCTATGTAGGATGACTTATTGTCTGGAACATCCAACAAGAAAAATGTTGCTCATGCCAGTGGAACCATTTGAGCCTAACCGGTCTTGCTATGTCTGTTCAGAGGTATATTCAATGATCTCTTCTAAATTCCATCTTTGTGAGGATCTTTTTGCTGACATTTAAAGTATAATTGCGACGCTAATGGAATATGATTGCAAGCAGACACCATTATCTCTAGAGATCAATACTCATCGTGCAAAGTTGCGGGACTTCGTAGAAAAGATAGTTAAAGCCATGCTTGGGATGAGCTTGCCGCTCATTATGCATGGCTCAGCCCTTCTTTATGAAGTCGGTGATGACCTGGATGAAGAAATGGTTGCAAATTATGCAGCAAACCTTGATAAGGTATAAATTCTTTTCCTCTGTTTCAAGATGACTTGCTAATTTGTTTTTTCACCTGATATGTGTCTCTTGTTTATGTGGGTTAATGTTTTTCACGTAGGTTCTGTCTGAGCTTCCTACTCCAGTTACCAGTGGAACCATGCTGACAATTGAGGATCTTCAGCAAGAACTATCATGCCAGATCAATATTAAGCACAGGTTCTTCTTTATCCAGTTTATGTATATGACATTAAGATTGCTTCTTAGCATCTATTAGTTATACAACATTATGGATGGCTGGAGCATCTGGATTTTGCTAGTTTTCCTGTTGTGGCTTGCAGAAATCTTCACCTAGCTGTAGAAGTTGAAATATTTTTTTATGATAGAATAAGCAATCAGAAACTTTATTAGTTGAAATTAATGCCCTTCATCCTGCAATTTTCCCCCTATGTTTGGCTCCCCCACCCCCTCCGAACCCAACCAAGTTGGTTATCTATTGCTGTTATATGAAGCAGTTTTCTCATTCTAGTTGCTGATTTGTCTCCTTTTGTCTTCTTTTCTTATGGGGTTGGGGAGTTGATGTTATTTATCTGTTTTTATCTTGTAAGCTACATAATTTATATATGTAAGTTTGATTTCTCACAGAGAGGAATTTGATGAGGAGAAGGAGCCCGATGGAATGGTTCTCTCTGGGTGGACTCAAGCTCCTTCAGTGGTAAAGGATGACAAGGAGTCTATTGCAAATGCTGGAAGCACATCAAATGAACCTCCAGTGGAGGCTGAAAAGAATGATGAGATTGAAATGACTACTGGAAAGAAAAGAAAGCAGTCCGAGGTTTCCGAGGCTGTCGATCCAGATTTATCAAGTGTTGATGGGGATACAAGAAATCCCGATAAGTTGCAAGTTCTCGATGATGATGATGAGCTTACGATATTTGATAATTGGGATTCGGTCACCAACAAGAAGATAAGAATGCAATAGTTCTTCCTTGGATTTCATGTGGAGGCCTCAGTCCTAATTTTGTACCACTAGTGAGAAGCATTGATTCTTTTGGCGGGCTCATAATTGCTATTATTAGGTCGAGCCGGTACAAATTAAATGGTCGTTTGGTTCCCTCTTTTTGTGGGTGTAAGTGTAATGTGTATTCTTCCTAACTTAGTTGACAGAGTTTTAGCAGTGTAACATGAAGAGAACCATAACTTAGGAACGCACCTGAAATGACATCAGTTACCAAACAAGTGCCCATGAATTTCAAACCTCCTTTATGTCCATTTTGAAATTAGCTTTCACATACAGAGGTCTCTCCCTATTTATATGCACCCATATGCGCATGGAAAATTTGCAGGATCGAGTTCTGAAAACCAGCAAAATATTCTTGCTCTTATTTGCTCTAGTTAAATGTAAGTAAAACCAATTATACCGATAAGAATGATGGATTGATCTACAATATAGGGCCTGTAATCTGATGGCCAGTTTTTATTCGCACTCACGTTTGATCTCACAGACAAACAAGTGTTATGGATCTACACCTCTTTGTGGAGAGAGACTTCATGTGCCGATATAGACCCTGGATGATAACGACCCATCAATTACAGTTCTTTCTTTTAGCTTTTGTTACAGGGTTACGTTGAAGCAAGGGCTAAATTATCGATGATTTTGGAAATATCGGTGGTCCAAAAATATGGAAGTTTTGATTGAAATATCAGAAAATTATCGATATCGATAAAAATTGAATAAAAACCACGAAAAATTGTAGAAAAACTTGGGACATTTTTATTGAAACTTTGGAGGATGTTTATTTAGTCAATTATCTATTACTTTATCACAAAAAATTGGAAGGAAATGCATTGCATGATGGGTTTAATTGATTTAAGTTGATTATATAGCGAGCTGACAAACACTGCAAATGTAGAAAATATATAGTAATTAATGAAAGAAGATTAAACACACCATAATCATTTATTTATAATGATTTACTACAATATTTTACACTTTATACATTGCATGTAAAGATACATGAGTGACTTAGTGACACTTAGAGTTCCTATAAGATTCCAAATTTTCACTCTCTTCATCATCTTGATATTATCGCGATATTTTGGCCAAATGTTGTTGAAGTGTGTGAGAAAATATCGACATTAATATTTCCCGATATTATCGATAATTATATGATATGTGTATGGATATGTTTCAAAATATCATAGACCCGAAAAAACGATAAATCGACGATATTATCAATATTTTAGTCCTTGCGTTTAAGGGAATCGAATCCATAATGCATTACTTACTTTCCCTCGACACTTGAACTAACCCCAAGAACTTTATCAATTAAAATTCTTTCCCTAAACTCATGTTTTAAGATATTTACCATTTTTTGGTAGTTAGCATGGGACTTGCAGCTCAAGTTGTTAAGAGCAGTTACCTCTGCATATGAGGTCTTGTGTTCAAAAGCATGTTAACCAATAATCACAATGTTGTCAGCGAATAATACAGATCAAAGTATAACTTGAGTGCAAACTACAATCAGCCATCCCTCTGTCATGTACCAATATTATAAAAGAAAGGAAACACACAAAATTTAAGACATGATAATTAAGATGTCTGAAGCACTGGATCTTTTCAACGAGATGAGGCTTAGATTGCTCCACCCGAGTCTCTCAAAATTCGTCAACCTTCTTGGTGTTTCAGCTGATTTATTTACTTTGGAATTGAGCAAGCAAATTCATGGCCTGGTCACGGGTACTTTTGGACGTAATTGTTGGCAATGCTCTCATAGATGTTTATTCTAAGTGTGTGGGGTGTGTGTATAAATGTACTAGGGTTAAGTATTAAGTTGGATGACCTTTTTTTGTCTTTTTACACAATAATAAAACTTAAGATCTTAATAATTTAATTGTTGGGATGAACAAAGAAAATGTGGGGTTTAAATAAAAAATGGTAAAGCTTTTTAGTTGTGGGGTTTAAATAGAAAATGATAAAGCTTTTTAGTCGTAGTCGTAAAATATTTATTCCCAAAATATGAGACTTCAGATATTTGAATTGTCTGATTTCATCACATAGATTACACCAAACCAAGTTGTATCTAGTACAAATAGAACATAACTCTGTTTTCTGTATCGAAAACCAAAACCAAAATAATAATATAATAATAATAATAACAAAAAATAAAATCTAATACATGTACGTTTAATCACTTTAATTATTTACACAATTTGAGAGAAAAGGAAAGCTCTCTCTTCCTGTCTCTCCCGTAGCTAGATCCTCCAAAAACCACAAAATTCCTAAGAATGGAATTCGAAGTCGGCATCTTTTGAGATTTTGGAAAGCAGCAAAATATTGCAAAAAAGAATATGTTATTGTGCTTTTCCATATTTGTTTTTTTCAGTTAGATTTATATATTCACACACCAACACAAGGTGCAGCACATTGGGTGGTGCTAGAAACTCTTCGACATGGATAAGGAGGGTAGGCCGGAACCGGAAAGTTCTTCCTCTCCGAATGTTTCTTCCTCTTCTTAGCATCGGGATGTTCAGGTTTCTTAAGATCTTCCACGCTTCTAACGTCGTCCATGCACGTAAATGATCTTGATTTGCCGGAGTAGTACCTTGACAATCCTGATCTCCTGCTGAGAAAACAAACATGTACCCATTACATTCAATTATTCACACACATTAATATAAACAGTAGCACCATTGTCACCTCTATTCCTAATATTCTCAACAAAATTTAAAACCTAACTACAAAATCTACGCACGTTTAGTGCATTGCGTTTGACATTAATAATTTGCGTTCGCAAATATTCTGTTGAGAAACCCGAAAGATTATAGAAAACACAAAATCAAAGAAAGGAAAGAAAGAGAGCTAGAGAATAAACAAAATTTGTCTTCTTACTTTTGTGGAAGACTTGTTCTAAGTGCACCCATGTCAAAGGCTCTCATGCTATCACCTTCCATGATATCCAAACAAGAGAAAATAGAGAAATATGAGATGGTGAAGAAAAGGTTGGAATTGTTTATGAGGCTTTAGGAGGAGCAATTGTCGTTTTATTTATATATATATATATATGTGTGTATATATGAGAAAAGAATTGTGGGATGTGTATGGAGGAGGTCACGTATGTATAAATGGCAGAGGGGATAGGAGGTCACACGTCATGGGAATTGGGGTTGGGGGATGCAATTTGTGGTGTGGGTTCGATAAAAGTGGATTGGTTTGGAGCCTCTCAAAGCTGCTCACATCGTGTTTGGTTTAGGATTTTCATGCCTACCTCACCACATCCTTATCTACATTCCCTCTTGTTCACTGGCCTTGGCTACCCTACCCTCATTTCTTCTACTTCTTCTTCTTAATTTTTGGGTATGATATGAGGATCTTTTACTTTATCTTAAATTGTAAAGCACCACTTGATTCGTGTGTAAAGGAGAAAAATTATCATGGCACGAGTGCAATGCATCATTCTCTTTATCTCACTCATTATTAACCAGTCAAATGGAGAGTGAGATAAAAAAAAAAAGGGTAAACTACAGTTTTTCTCTTGAATTATCGCGCTAATTGGACCTCCGCACCACTTCCTTTCTCGATTTTATTTTTTCAGTCAATTTAGCGCTCAAACTTCTACTCCTCTGAATTGAAAACTATGAACCACAAGGTAACAATTCAAACTTCTACTCCTCTCCGATTTTATTTCTCACATTTGTTGATGGTGGGATTGAACCCCTCAAATAAGCTCTTCACTTTAAGTACGTCTATGCCAGTAATCTTTAAAAACCTCGATGCATTGCTACCTTGTCCAACTAAAATCATGCCTGATGCAACAAATCATACTCAGTCCTCTTACTCCAATGTTTTTTTTTTATATTTTTTTTTTCAAATAATTGTTTTTAAATAATAAACACTTTACTTAATTCTCTCATTCTCTCTACAATATAACAATGCAAAAATAGAATTCTCTCGTACAACCCTAATCAGTCGTTTTCAATTATTATTTTTCTCTATTTTGGTCTCCTCAACTATGTTGCTCTCCAATCAACACCAGATACGTCCATTATTAATCTTGATTAATTGTATATATCAATCTATTCATATATTTTTTTAGTCAGAGGCGATAGCATTTAATTGATGTATAGGGATGTAACAAGTATAAAAAAAACTGGGCTCTAACTTAGGGAATTAGGCGAGTTTTTCTACACCCAATAAGCATTTTGTCATCAGACTACTTAAATAGTCTACCATCTCAACCGCAAGCGGGGGCACATGTCAAGTAATACATCTACAATCAAATATGGTAGTTTCTAGAACCAAGTCGTAGTTGCACCACCAATAATGAACCCATCAGTCAATTCATATTAAATGCTTTGAACCGATACATTTTAAAAAACTATCAAATAAACACTCAATCTTGCAGTGGACCCTCCCTCCATAACGTGAAAGAAATACGAAGATATGGAAGTCCACGATTCCCATTGCAGTACCAACCAAATTTCAACATTTAGACAGTAGGGTCACGTTTGGTAGGTAGGGGATTGAATTAGTTCAATTAAATTGGACAACTGAATTCTCCATTATTTGATATTTTACAACTAGAACTTGGACAACAGTCAAATTTAGAAAAACAAGTGAGACTCATAAACTCAACTTCTAAACGAGTGAGACTCATAAACTCAACTACTATCGTGTTCAAGTCGAGCTACCAAATGAGGAGAAATTTTTATATGTTTCAACTACTATCGTGTTCAAGTCGAGCTACCAAATGAGGAGAAATTTTTATATGTTTCGGGAACAACACGTGGTTGATGTATCATCTAATAAACATAGGGCATGTGGAATTATTGTCCAACTTACAGCATTTCTTTTTATGACATGTGGTGGGTCGCATTAAAAATATTCCATACGTCCTCCGTCTATTGGATAGTACACCAGTCACGTAGTGTATCAGGAACACCCATAAATTACTCGCAAAGGGGGGCTAGGAAAACTTTGACCATAAATGAAAATAAAGACAGTAGAGTAACTAACAAAACGCGAGTAGCTCAACCTAATACCTACTCCCATTCAATACTCACCATTGCGGTGTCCCCATACGACACCACAACAGTAAAAACGACATATAAAATGGGGACCCCGCTTTGATAGCTTTTGAGTTGTTAGTTGGCTTAGTTGCTGCGGGCACTTTACTCCCTCTCACTCATCTACCAGAAAAACAAAACCAGCAGAAAATCTCCTTCTATTGGCGATCGATTGGTTTTGGTGGCATCCATGAC